CTTTTCACCCCTAACAGTTCTTTGTATATAAAATTGGTAAGTTTTGCAAAGTTGCGATCATAGTCTGATAAATCTATTCCAGTGTCTGACAGAAGGTACAACATATGCATATACTTACATATCATGTGTATGAAATGTACTTACATACGATATATACTTGTTGTAAAAGACACATACTTAGATCTTATAATTTCCTTTATAATGATGGAATCACTTCTAGTTGCCAGTTGTAACTTCTACCCACTTCCCTATTTTTAGACATTCAGATAGCTAAGATTTTTGCCTGTGTGGCCTCCTGACAGGCATCAGGAAATCAGGATAATGTGTGAGAACTGCACGGTGCTAATTTGTCAGATTCGTATTTGCACTGTTGAATCTACATGCAAATATCCAAGTATGACCAAAAAAAGCCAATAACAGAATCTCTGCATTTTAGGCAAGTGTCCTCTAAGGGCAAATGCACACTCTTCTTTGGATCTTACCCACCCGCTCCTCCCACAACAAGAGGGAGCCCCAGGGTCTTTGGTTTTATGTGTTGCTGAGTAGGTATGACCCAGGACAGCATGAGGGGAAAGGACCTTCTTCTTGAGCTCGGTCATTCAGATAAAGAAGGGAAAGGAGCAGCTTCATCCTCATTCCTCTACATGTGAAACGAGGAATTCAACGAGAGCTTATACTGCAAGGCAGACTACCGAAGTCCGGTTTTATATATACAACATGAGGGTGGAACTAACCCAAGTGGATAACTCCCCATTTTCTCTCTCTGCTCCCTAAACTCTAATCTTCATTGGTTTAGTTCATTTTATCAACTATGAATAATTTTGGAGGCAAGAGACACACAAAAAAGTAACCCTACAGGCCTAGAAATGAATTTGTCTAAAACTAATTTTCCTACCATGTCATTCAGTAAAATATGAGCATTTGGGGAGCAATTCTCCAACAAAAGAGTAACAACTGTTCAGTTAATTGGTGGATAAGAAAGACTTCCTTGAAGAATTTTCAGTAAGTAGTATTATGTGTTTCTGCTCCAGCATCTTTACCTTATTTAAAACTTGGTTAAACTGACACATCTGACAAAGGACAGAAGGCAATACACATTTTAGATAGTCTAAAATGACGAAATTCACCTGTCTCGTTCTCAGACAAATCAAGTTGCTCCAAGTAATTCCGTACCAAATGTTGGCAAAGCTTATTTTAGTACATAAAAATCAATACAAGGGTACCGCTATAATTAAATAGGGAAAGAAGAGTTTTTGCAACAAATGGTGCTGGTTATCAACATCCAAAAGGATGAAGATGGACCCCTTCCTCATACCATACACAAAAAGTAACTCAAGACAGATCACATACCTCAATACAAGAAAACTATAACACTCTCATAAGAAAACAGAAGTAAATCTCCATAATCTTCATGATTTCTTAGATACTATACCAAAATCACAAATGACCAATGAGCACATGAGAGATGCTCGACATTATCAGTTGTTAGGAAGACGCAAACTGAAACCAAAATGAGATGCCGGTTCACACATGCTAAAATGGTTACAATGACAAAGACAGGCAGTAACCAGGATATGAAGAAACCGGAACCCACACAAGTTGCTGGTGACAGTGTAAAACGGTCAGCTGGTTTGGAAGAATCTGGCTGTTCCTCAAAATGCTAAACACAGAGCTACCAATGGCCCAGCAATTCCACTCCTCAGCAGCTATCCAAGGGGAATGAAAACACATTCATCTAATAACTTCCTCGTGAGGGGTCACAGCAGCATTACTCGTAGTAGTCATAAGGTGAAAACAACCCCACAGTCTAGCAACTGAAGAATGAATAAATGAAATGTGAAATAGCCATACAGTGGACTTTTCCTTGGTGGATGAAAGGAATAAAATACTGACCTAGTACAACATAGATGAACCTTGAAAACATAATGGTAAGGGAAAGAAGCCAGTCACAAAAGACCATGGACTGTGTAACTTCATTTATAAGAAATGTCTAGAATAGGGGCCCCTGGTTGGCTCAGTCAGTTAAGCATCTGCCTTCTGCTCAGGTCATGGTCCCAGGGTCTTGGGATCGAGCCCTACGCTGTGCTCCCTACGCAGCAAGGTGTCTGGTTGTAGCTCTGCCTGTCCCCCTGCTCATGCTCTCTCTCTCTCTCAAATAAAATAAAATCTTAAAAAAAAAAAAGTCCAGAATAGGTAAAATCTCCAGAGACAGAAAGTAGATTAGTGGTGGCCTAGCGCTGAGGAGTGTGACTGGGGAACACAGGAACTGCTTTTGAGTATGGGGTTTCTTTCTGGGAAGACAAAAATGTTCTAAAACTTAGACTATACTGTGAACACACTAAAGAACACTGAATTGTACGCTTTAAATGGATGAATTTTATAGTTCGTGCATTGTCTCTTAATGAAGCTGTCAAAAAACACAGTTTCCCTATGGATGGGCAGTAAAAGGAGCATTTCTTGTGCTGTATTACTTGACCCACTAATAACGGTCTCATTCCTAGCCTTCATTAAGGAGGTCATTTTTTTTCTTTTATTTTTTGATTTATTTTTTCCTTTAAGGGGGGCGGGGAGAGGGAGACATAGAATCTTAAGCAGACTTCACACCAGCCTGGAACCCGGTTTGGGTGGGGGGGGGTGTTGGTCTTATGACCCTGAACCTAACCTGAAGTCAAGAGTCAGATGCTCAACCGACTGAGCCACCTTTCAAATGAACTTTAAATATAACTCCAAACACACATTTAGCATACAGATGTCAGTTGTTAAAAAACATCCACGTTCTGTCATGGCTCTCTCTCCCCTGCCAAAACCCAGCCAACTCCAGAATTATCTCTTTATCATTTAAGTCTTCTCATCTTTCCTGGGGTTATTCCATTTCCACTCCTGAAATGGGATACTGAGCAGTATTTGCACCTGCAGGGAAAAGGGCTATATTTTTATTGAGGAATCTGTCTCCTTTTACTTTCCCAGTGAAATGGTTCAGTGATGTTAAGTATATGGGAAAAGGCTCATTGTCAAGATAAGCATCAATAGGCACCTTTTCACTTCCTTGATTATCTGAATATTAAATCCACGGCTAAGTTCCAGTACTGAGGCACTGGGTCTTTTTCAAGGTGGACACCGCACTGTTCTTACCAGGCGTGTTGATTGTTTAAGGCATAGATCAAATGTATCGGACGTTGTCTCTCCTGTGTAATCATGCAAACTATATGTTTTAATTAAAAATAAAAAGAAAGCACACACCCAATAACCGAAGTCTCTTAAAAGGCTATCCTGAATAGCAACTGTAAAGATTCAAGCTACCGATTTACTGATTCCATTTTTCAAAAATCCATTTAACTGGACCTACTAACTCCAATTTCTAAAAGCATGAAATTCCTAACTGTAGACATCCCAGCAAAATTTGGGCTTTCTCTGCTCACTGGGCAAATGGATGTTGAGAAGAAAAGCCAGGTAGGGGCTTTGTGAGAAAACATTCCTCCTATTCGACTTGGCACCCGCTGGCTTCCTGATTTTTTCGAAGAGATGGAGAGCATCTGCCTCAATCCGAACCCCTGCACCCCTCCTCACTCTTTACCTACTCGTCGTCGTTAGAGTGGGGGTACCAGGGACTAGTTCCTGCGAGCGCCCAGCGGGGTGGTGTCTGTAACCCACTCACCACAGTGCCCGGCCCCGGCGTCAGAAGCGGCCTGGGAGCAGCTCCCGGCAGCTGAGCGCGCCCTCCACCTGCAGGGCCCGCTGAGGCCTAGCGAGCCAGGGGCGAAGGGCCCTGGATGCCCAGTGCGGGAGCAGCCGGTTAAGCTCGGCCGATCTTCCGTGCGCGGGTTCTCGCGGCCGCCCGGCGTGCCCCCGCTCGCAGCCCCCCCGCCCCCTCCCCGGGCCAGGCCGGCTTGCAGGCGTCAGCCCCCGGGAGCGCGGCGGCGCGGGGCTCGCAGGCCCAGGACCACGCCCTGCCCCGCACCCGCCGGCGCCCGCGCTCCCGGGGCCCGCGCCGGAGGCTCTCCGAGCCAAGGATGTGGTTGGGCGCGCCAGGAAGCCCCCCGCCCGCCGGAAGACCCCTGGACGCCCCCGCCGGGACCCCCGCCTCCCCGAGCGCCCCCTCCCTGCCGGGAACACCCGGACCTCCCCGCCGGGGCCCCCGGGACCCGGCCCGCCGCTATCCCCCCACCGGCTCTTTAACGGGCCGCGGGCGCCCGGGCGCCAGGCCGACGCGGAGAGCGCGCCCCGAGGGCGGGAGGCCGCGCGCACATAACGGGGCGCGAGCCTGGCCTCACCCAGGATCTCCTGGCGCCGGCTGGCGTGGGGCTGGTCCGTGTAGACCCACTCGAAGTCTTCTCGCGCGACGCGGTTCCCCATGGCGGCAGCTGGCGGACCTGCACCGGCTCTCGCTTCCGGCCGGGTTCCTCCGAGGCAGCCGCGCGGCAGCTCCGTGTGAAGACGGAGGCCGGGGCGGAGCCCCGTGGCCCCGCCCCTCCCCGCCAGCCCATTGGTCCTGCGCCACGGGGGGGGGGGGCTCCTCGCCCGCCCCGCCCCCAGCCCGCAGGCCCATTGGTCCTACCGCCAAGGTACCGCCCAGCCGGCCCCGCCCCTCCATCCCATTGGTTCTCTCTACGTTCTGGCCCCGCCCCACTGGCCGCGCCCCGTGACGTCAGCGGCGGTCGCTAGACTAGGCAGGCTGCCCTCCGCCGGCTGTAACGCCGCTGAGCGGTGTGGGGTTGTGCCGGTCAGTGGCGGCGCTTCTCGGCTGCTGCGGGAAGCGGAACCTCAGGAGGGCGCGAGCGCGCGGCCGCTCGGGGACAGTCGCGGCCACAGCCTCTTCTGCGAGGGCCTTCTGTTCCAAAATTAGTCACGACTTCTCCTTTACAAAAGAGGCTTGGGCTGAAACTACAAAGAGGAAGATACTGTTAGGACAGGAGAGAGCCACAGGCGAGGAGCCTGGGCTCTGATCCAGGTCACCGCCACCCCTGCTCTTGGAGTGGACCATGGACGCCGGGGCCTCCTGACGCCGGCGCGCCCGGGTCTCCGCGCGGGAGCCGGAACCCGAGGAGGTGCTGGACCTGAGCCGGCTCTCCCCGGAGCTGCTTCTGCTGGTGTTGAGCCACGTGCCCCCGCGCACGCTGCGGACCTCCTGCCGCCGGGTGTGCCGGGACTGGCGTGCCCTGGTGGACAGCCAGGCTTGTGGATGCGCATCCTGGCCCGGGAGCAGGGCGCCCTGCTGCCGCTTGTCCGCAGCTGCCTGCCCGCGCGCCTCGACGTCAGGCCTGGCCTCCTGAGATGCCTCCAGGCCCGTCCTCCTGAGCCGCTTCTGCGAGCTCCGACCGACCGTTCGGGCGCAACCTCATCCTCAATCCCTGCGGCCAGGAAGGCCTCCAGGGTTGGACGGTGCAGCACGGTGGGGAGGGCTGGGTGGTGGAAGAAAACCTGACACAGGTGCCCGGGGCCCCCTCGCAGAACTGCTTCGTGTCTTCCTACAAGTGGTGTCGCAAAAAACAGGTCTTGGACCTGGTGGAGAAGGGTTTGTGGCTAGAGCTTCTAGATAGCGGCAAGATTGAGATCTGTGTCTCTGACTGGTGGGGAGCCCGAGACGACTATGGTTGTGTGTACCGACTCCTTGTCCAGCTTCTAGATGCCAGGCTGAACGTCCTGGATGAATTATCTTCTTCCCCCGATCCCGTCCAGCAGGGGAACAACCACGTCTGCTTTCAGGTCACCCACATGTTCTCCAACATCAAGACGGGCGTGCGCTTTGTGTCTTTCAAACACTGGGGCCAGGACACGCAGTTCTGGGCTGGTCACTATGGAGCCCGTGTCACCAACTCCAGTGTGGTCGTGCGGGCCCGACTGTCTTAATGGAGAGCTACCTTTGAAAAACAACCTCAGCGGTGCCGTCCGGGACCTGGGACCGCTGACCAGGACTTTTCATGAACCAAGGAAGGATATCACCTCCCTGGGATCCCGGGTACTCCAGGATCCCTTCGAGGGGCCGCTGGGCACCCTCTTCAGGTTCTGCAAACTACTAGAAGAGAGTTCTTCCTTCAGAGCTATGTACTGCTGTTACAGGGCAGTCCTCCCCTTGGTGAGCATGGAAGAATGCTGGACCTGGAGGGGCTCTTGGTCCTCCCGGCGGAGGCCCTCTGCTCAGCCCCACTCCCCTCTGCCCTTGCCTTTCTGCTTCAGGGGCTTTGTCAGTCCCTTTACAGAAGGTCTGCCTTCTCTGAAGTGGAATCTCGTCCTTACGGCTGGGAAAATTCCAGCCACCTCAGGTGGCATACGGAATGTCGGCCAGCTTTAAGGCGGGGACCAGGTCTCGAAACTGAAAGCCAATTAGCCCCCCAAAATGTGTGCAGATCCTCAAGGACCCCAGTGATTGTGTGGTGTGTAAAATTGTTTTTTTGTTTTTTTTTTTTCAGCCTGAGTGGCTCAGGTTAAGCATCTGCCTTCGGCTCATGTCATGATCTCAGGGACCTGGGATTGAGCCCTGCATCAGGCTCCCTGCTTGGCGGGGAGTCTGCTTCTCCCTCTGCCTCTTACTGTTCCTCTCCCTCACCCCGCTCATGTGCTCTCTTTCACAAATAAACTCGTTTTAAAAAAATTTTTCTATTTTGAAAAGTTCTGTAAACATTGAGAGAAAAATATATCAGCAAGAACTATCTGCCAATCTCACATAATTTATTATTTTGCCAAAAAGAAAAAAAACCCTACAATTTCTTCCAGCATCCCACCTAGCAGAGTTGCTCGGAGTGGCACACACTGTGGCCTCGGAGCCTGGGGTGCGGTGTGTGGGCTTCTAGTGAGAATTGGGTGGGATCCAGCCAGGTCCCCTTCCTGGGTCAGGTAGTCCTCCCTGCTGGTGGGGACCCGGGGCTGAAGGCCCCCTACCCCCATCAGGCAGTCCCCGTGCTGGTGGGGAGCCAGGGCTGAAGGATCCCTCCCTGCATCAGGGGTTCCCTCCTTGGTAGGGACCCGGGGCTGAAGGTCCCCTCTTCATGTCAGGGGTTTGCCTCCCTGGTAGGGACCTGGGCTGAAGGATCCCTCCTGAAACAGAGTTCCCGTCCCTGGTGGGGTCTTGGGGCTGAAGGTCCTCCCCAGCATCAGGGGTCCCCTGCAAGTTGGGACCCGGGGCTGAAAGTCCCTTTCCTGAGTCAAGAGGTCCTCCTGCTGGTGGGGGCCCGGGACTGAATGATTTCTTCCCATGTCAGGGTTCCCCCCCCCACCAGCTGGTGCAGAACAGTTCAGACTCAGGGACTGAAGGTCCGGTGACCTGGGAGCAGCCAAGCCCGAAGTTGGGTTGCGTGTTAGGTCTCAGTTTGCTGACTGGGACAGAACACAACTGATTCCTTCTGTGGCCTTGTGATTTTTTTTTTTTAAACAATTCTCCCACTTTTAATGCAACGTTTTGCTCCCCTGAGGACAAGATCAAAATTTAAGACCCTGGCAGGACACCACCTGGATAACTCAGTAGGTGAAGCTTCTGCCTTAGGCTCAGGTCATGATCCCAGGGTCCTGGGATTGAGCCTCATGTCAGGTCTCTGCTCAGCGGGGAGCCTGCTTCTCCCTCTCCCGCTCTCCCTGCCTGTGCACACACTCTCTCTCTCTGTGTGTGTGTGTGTCAGATGAATAAATAAAATATTTTTAAAAAGAAAAAAGAAAAATATACGGCCCTGGAGCCCCTCCCCACTTGGTCCCTGAAGGTCTCAGTGTTTGTTGATGCTCTGTGGTAAGCACAGGTCATGACTTCAGGCTCACAGCTGCTTAGTGGGTCATTGCCTTAGTCCGGTTTCTGACTCTCCATTCCTGGGGAGCTCGTGGGCTGGGTTCTTAGTGGCCGTGAACGTGCATCTGGAGCTTTTGAGGGCATACAGTGTGCTAGGGAGCCAGCTCTGCTTATTATAAGCAGAACCATTTCCACTGTCTGGGTGCACTTTGGAGCCATGGTCCCCAAGACTCACACCAATCAAAATCAAGTCAGAGAAAGACCCTGTTGAAGGAATTGCTTTTGTAAGCCAAGTAGCCTCTTCAGTGACTTTATGTCACCGAGTTTCAGCTTCCCCGGAAGTGTGGGGCATGTGGCATTGGCCACAGCGCGGACACCTTGTCCAGCTGCAAGATGATCAAGGGCAATTCTATGATCAGGAACAACTTTGGCTTTGCAAGGATGGCCGCCACTGGTGAGATGGCGATTGTGGCCACATCTGTTTTGTAATCATAAGAGCACAGGGGTGCGAACGTGCCGTGATTTGCATGGGCATTTGTGTCTGGGCAGGTACAGTCATAATTGGAGAAAGGTAAACATGAGGCACGGATGCTCTGGCCGTGAAAGGCAGATTCCTTTAGGTGACTTCGAAGGCAGAGTGGGGAGTAGTTGGAAATAGAAGAGAGATGGGTCACAGGGAGGACCAGAGATCTCTAGCATCGCGGATGGGTAGGGGGTTTTGACAACAAATCCAGCCATCTGAAAGGTTGGCCCAATTAGCAAAAGAAAGTGACCTTCCTTACTTACCTATGAGCAGACTGATTTATCCAAGCAGTTCCTGAAAGCTGTGTGGTCATTTCTGAGTCTACGCTCGTCTCTCTCAAATATGACATTCTAATCAAACCCTTGGTCATCTGGGCAGTGTTTCCAGTTGTGTCCTGTTATGAAGAAAACAGATTCTTATTGAACTTATGAAAATACTCTTGAGTTTCTGAATTCTGGAGGGAATAATTACAGAGGAAAGGTAAATATTTCACCTTTGTTTACAAAACTATCCTTTACCAAATTGCTATAAGTCATAGATAATTTAAGAGAAGGCATTGCCTTAGGTCTGGGAAAACAGAACATTAGGGAATCAGCAGTAATTCAAACAAAAAGTAGTAAAAAGTCATAATCATTGTTGTGATTTCATTCAGTTGCATATACTTAGTATTTGTTATGCTTGAATCCAGTTTTTCTATTAATTCTGGAAATTTGTACCCCATTTAATTTTATGATTTTAAAGTTATCAAAAAAATTTGTGCTTGTAAAGTCCTTTCCATGAATCTCTTTTTTAAAATTAAAAAAAAAGATTTTATTTTATTCATTTGATAGAGATCACAAGTAGGCAGAGAGGCAGGCAGAAAGAGAGGAGGAAGCAGGCTCCCTGCTGAGCAGAGAGTCCGATGTGGGGCTCAATCCCAGGACTCCGGGATCATGACCTGAGCCAAAGGCAGTGGCTTTAACCCACTGAGCCACCCAGGTGCCCCTCCATGAATCTCTTTGAAGATGAAGCATTTTGCAGAAACACTTTTGCGATAGTATCAGGTTAAACAACAAGATTGCTTTTTAATAATTGCCATTCTGACAGGTATAAGGTGATATCTCATTGTGGATTCAACTGCCTTTCTTTGATGATTAGTGATACTGAGCATCTTTTCATGTGTCTTTTGGTCATTATGTATGTTTCCTTTTTCCTATCTATCAGGCTCTGAATATCAACTTCATATTGGACAATTTCTGACCCCAGAGCTACTCAAAAAATCCTTTCAAATGGGAGCACCTGGGTGGCTAAGTAAGTTAGGCGTCTGACTCTCGATTTCAGCATGGGTCATGATCTCAGGGTCATAAGATCAAGCCCTGCATCAGGCTCCATGCAGAGTATGGACCCTGTTTGGGATTCTCTCTCCTTCACCCCCTGCCCCTCCCCTACTTGTGCACATGTGTTCTCTCTCTCTGTATTAAAAAAAAATCCTTTCAAATGAAATTCACCACCATTCCCATCCCCATCTGGGTTATATTTTTTATTTTTCCTCAGATAGTAATTTTCTTCAATTTATACCTTTAAGCCAAAGAATTGCCTCCCTCCCACGAAAGCCCAATAAAAAGGAAGTTGCTATTGTAAAGTATAAAAGTTGGCCAGACATAGACAAAAAATTACAGACATTAGCAGAGGCTGGAGGAAGTGGAGAATGGAAAGCTATTGTTTAGTGGGTATAGAGTTTCTGTTTGGGATGATGAAAAAGTTCTGGAATTGGATAGTGGCTGTACCACATTGTGAATATACTGAATGCCACTTAATTGTACACTTAAAAATGGTTAAAATGGCAAACTATCTTATGTATATTTTACCACACATATATGTACATGAACAATAGAGTTCAGAGTAATGTGAATGTGAGACACATTAAGATTATCAATATATGTGTAATGGGAATGTAGGCAAATTTTTCAAAGAAAAAAATAGTTGAAAACTACCCACATTTATTGAAGAACATTTTTCTATACATCCAAGAAGCTCAATGGACTCCAAGCTCATGGACTCAATAGACAAAATGAGAGATCAACACCCAGGCACATCATTGCAAAATGCTGAAACACAAGGAGAAAATCTCAAAGGAGCAAGAGAAATATGATTCATCACATATAAGGAAACCCCACAGCATAAACTTCCAATGACTCCTCATTGGAAGCAGTGGAGACCAGAAGGCAGTGGGATGGCATAGTTCAAGTGCTGGGGGGAAAACACGCTGGCAACTAAGGATCTTATATCCAGCAAAACCATCTTTTTTTTTTTCAAGATTTTATTTATTCATTCATCTGAGAGAGAGATGGAGAGTGCCCAAGCAGGGGGAGAGGCAGAAGGAGAGGGAGAACCAGACTCCGTGCTGATGAGTGAGCCCAACATGAGGCTTGATCCCAGGACCTGGAGATCATGACCTGAGCCAAAGGCAGATGCTTAACCAACTGAGACACCTAGATGCCCCATGAGAAACTATCTTTCAAATATTAAGGTAAGCATTTCCAAATAAACATAAACTGAGAGAATTTGTTGCTCAAGCAGCCATTTGATAAGAAATACTACAGGAAGTTCTTCAGGCTGAGAGCAAGTGACTCCAGAATGTAACTCGGTCCACATGAAAAAATAAAGAGCAACCACAAAGGTAAGTAATTATAACAGCTAGAATAAACGCTTATTTCTTCTACTTATTTAAAAAGCAACTGTAGAAAGCAATAAGTATATAATTGTATCACTGGCCTGATAGAATATACAAATATAAATAACAATAATGGCACATGTGATGGGAGCAAAGCTGCTTTAGATCAAGGAAATGATACCAGATGGTAACTCAAATCTGCAGAAACAAATTAAGAGAAATGAAAACGGTAAATAAGGTGAGTAAAACAAACTCCATATATAGTCCCTCAGTTTCTTTCTGAAGCACAAGATCATATAAAGTTACAATTATAACAGGGTATTTGGCACTTGTACCATACACGGATATAATATGTTTAATGATATTTGCACAAAGCAGAGGAAAAGGAAATGAAACTATATAGGTGTAACTTTTTTTTTTTTTTAAGATTTTAAAGTTGATTTATTTGACCGACAGAGATCACAAGTAGAGGCAGGCAGAGAGAGGGGGCAGGCTCCTCACTGAG